AAAAATTCATATTAGTGATCTATTATCCTCGCAAGATACCATGCAGTACGATGTTAATGATAAATTATCTTCACAGGGGGCTAAGCAATACGAAATTGATGAAAAATCGTTTTTACGAGAGACTAAACCATATGTAATTGAAGTGAAATCACCTTTACAAGATATTAAACCATATGTAATTGAAGTGAAATCACCATTACAAGACATTAAACCATATATAATTGAAGAGAAATCACCTTTACACGATATTAAACCGTATCAGCAAGATGTTAAACCGCAACATACCTTGGATTCTGAGTGTGAAATAGAGGTTATCGATCTTACAGAAGATGATGACCCTCCGACAACCTCAACATCATCAACCCTCGTAGATAAAATTAAACAGGAACCCTCACCTTTTACATTTCCCTTACCTTTTACTTCCGGTCAAAATAATTTTATATCAGCATTGAAATTGTCTCAGTATAATCGTAACCCATTATTGTCCAATGTTAATAACACTATATTACCCACTACCAACACCGCTGCATTTCAAACTGCTAGTAACATTTTGTCTCAAAATGTTAATAGCCCTTTATCATCTAATGTTAATAACAATTTATTACTCAATTTCAACAATTCTCCTTTGCTCAATGAAACTAAGCCAAATATGCTCGAAAATAGGCCAGGCAGTTATTCAAGATCTATAAATCTTCAAGATCTTTTGGACATGATACCTCTGGACGAATCTAATCATACTCCTGTTGGAGATGCCATGCGTAAAATAAACGCTCGCAAAGGGATTGTTCCTGGCTTGTCCATCCAGCTGATGGATCATCAAGTAATTGGTGTTTCTTGGATGGTGGATCAAGAAACAAAAGAAAAGGTTAGAGGTGGTATTCTCGCTGATGACATGGGACTAGGCAAGGTATATTACTTTAATAATAATATGTAGAAGCAAATAATAATAACAATTATTATTGTCATTATCATCATCATTATTATTATTGTTGTTTTTATATTACGTACAATTTTTAATTGATTATATATATTTATTTATATCGTTTTTGTATATATCTACTATTTGCGTTATATTAGACCGTCCAAACCATAGCAACTTTAGTGATAAATCGGCCCGATACAAAAAAATCGAAATCCGCGAAATCGACACTAATAGTTGCCCCAACAGCCCTTATTTATCAATGGAAAAGTGAAATTTTAAGTAAAACTGAACAAGGTATTTCTCAAAATTTTGTTGGCAGTAAGCGTTGTAAACTTGTATTAATATGGCTACGCTACGTAACACTACTTGCCATTAAATTCCCAGTTTAACAGCTGTTATCTTGATTATATTATTTCCTGAATAATTAATTGTATTTAAATGGATAATTTATTAGATCTATTCTCCGTACATGTATATCATGGTCAAAATAAAGCAAGTTTTCATAATTTGAAAAAATACGACATAGTAATTACAACCTATCAAACTCTCCTTCGTGAGTGTCCCGAAATTGAAGAGGATGATAGAGGTTCTTTATTCCGAATGGATTGGTTCAGAGTAGTTTTGGACGGTAATACCGCACAGTAAGGTCATTATGATTGTAAAATGCTTGGTAGACTTTTTTAATCAAGGTTTCGAATCTTAGAGGCTCAGAATATTAAAAATCGTCATTCTCGTGCGAGTAAAGCATGCGCCCGTTTAACAAGCACTTATCGTTGGTGTTTAACTGGTATTTTTCATTTTCATGCCTATGAATTTTATAAACTTTGATAATTTTATAATGATTTATTTCATGAAAAATTTATTTTTTGTCATTTACAGGTACTCCAATCCAAGTATGTATTTTTTAATGTTTTCTCAGTAATTTAAT